AAATAACACTATAATTATAAACATTATAATTTTTGATCTCTATAAATAAGTCTTTATGTTTTGCTAAGAAGTATATATTTAGAGAAGTTTTCTATTTTCAAGAATTGTTATGGCAAATAATAAGAACCAATATGTGATTTTTGATCTTACTGATAAAGTTTTATAAATAAAACATGTATGTTAACTACATTTTTGTTCTTTTTTCCACTATTTAATGCATACTGCTTATCATGTTCTAACAAAAATATAAAAATACTACTTTTAAAAGCAATAACATCCTTTACTGTGCAATGAAATAATTAAAAAAATTAAAACCTTAGTGAAAGGGCAGTATTGTACTAACTACTGTTTTACGTAGCTATTTAAGTGTATTACCATTTTCTCAAAACCCCCTTTCCTGACTTCTGCCCCGTCTGCATCCACATGACCAGCCTTCAACATCACAGACAAATGTTAATGAAGTTATAGTATATAAGAATAGAATACCATAGAATCATTTTTAACACATAGATTACTAAACCTTTGTCCTGGGGGAACCAGCAAGAAACCCTGTGGGACTTTTTTTTGAAGTATTGTATACAATTAGTATGAAAACAGAAACAGCATGGTAGTGATCACCCCATTGCCAGGGGTTATTTATCAATCATGTACACTTTAGTAGCATAATAAATCTTTATTAAACAATTTTTGATTAATAAAAATTTTAAACTTTTTGATACATAAGGCCTGCATATTTTCTGGGGCTTAATTGCCCCATGATGGAATTACTGGCTGTTTGGACTCGAGGATATCACTAACTTGTGCTTGTTTCTAGTATTTACAGAATATACATCACTATTTTTACATAAAACTATGTTTTTTCTTGTGTACATACATTAAATTAAAAAAAATATATATTATAATTTACAAATTTTTTTTGTATAAGGTTTTTGGCGGCTCCGTGGCGCAGTGGCTTAGCAATAAGTCACAACGCTAAGGGCCATGAGTTCGAATCCCTCACGGAACAAATATTTGTATGGCCTACAAATAATTATCCCAGGTCTGGATGTTTGTCCTTGTGAATTTTATGTATGTAAACTGACCCCACGATACAGGAAAAAATCCTAGTGTGGAGGTAACATTTTTTTTAAAAAAACTATCAAACTTATCAAATATTTAATTCCTTATATATTAGTAGCTAACAATATTTTCTAACAATTTGCTTAGTTGAGAAGCAAATATAGTCTAGTATCTGAATATCTTATACTAAAATATATAATTTTACAACATTTATTGCAAATGTCTACATTGTAAATTCCAATTTGGAAAAACTAATTTATAAATTAAACATTTTCAGATAAACCGACCAAATATGATACTACCCTAAGAATTAGAAGTTGTTACAAAAACATGTGAGAAAACTTAAATTTTAATTAAAGAAGTCTAGAAAAACTATAAAAGGTTTTAGGACTCGTCTATCAAATGCAGAATAAATGAGTAATCAAGTAACATTTGAGAAGATCACCAAAAAGAAGACATTTGCAGCGAAGGTTTTGTTATAGCTGTTTAGAATCATTTATTGTAAAAATATGTTCATATTTTGTATTGTCAAAACTGTTTATGAATCGTTTATTGTAAAAAATATTATTTTTATGCTTTGTTTTGTTAGAGCTGTTGAGAATCATGTATTGTATAAAATATTTTTATGCCTAGTTTTGTTATAGCTGTTTAAAAAATATTATCTTTGTACTTTGTTTTGTTATAGCTGTTAAGAATTGTATCTCATAAAAAATATTTTCTTAGTTTGTATTGTGAAAGCTGTTAAGAATAACTATTATAGAAATATTGATTTCATAATTTGTATTGTCTAAGCTGTTAAGAATCATTTATTGTTAAAATATTAGTTTCATACTTTGTATTGTGAATGCTGTGTTATATGAATTGTTTATTGTAAAAATATTAGTTTGTGTGTGGCGCAGTAAAAATATCCACCAGTCTATACCATCCCATGAGTGTCATTAGAGGCGATAGAGGGAAACAAATCAGAAGATGGACAGCAGTTCCTTCCCAATAACGACTAAATTTAAAAGCTGCGGTTGGCTAGCAATATTATTTCATATTTTCTATTGTCAAAGCTGTTATGAATAACAAGAAGCCAAGCCCTCTTTTTATCTTTTCGCCAGTTAGATTATTAGTTGCCGGCTTTTTAAAAAGGAGTAGGCTGTTTTCTTGAAGGTCCCTAAGTTTTATCTGTCCGGAAAAATCGCTGGTGGTAATCGATTCCACAGGGAAGTTGTGCGAGGAAGAAAACATCTTCTAAATCGCACAGTGGTGGACCGCCAATCATCGGTGTGAAGAGCCAAGAGGGGTATCGACTGATACCTTTTTTTTTATAGAAGAGGGGGCAAACGAGCATGCGGCTCACCTGATGGTAAGTGACTACCGCCGCCCATGAACAACCGCAACACCAGAGGAATTGCAGATGCGTTGCCGGCCTTTTAGAAAGGTGTAAGCTCTTTTCTTGAAGGTTCCTAAGTCATATCAGTCCGGAAAATTCTCTGGTGGTAATTGATTCCACAAGGAAGTTGTGCGAGGGAGAAAACTTCTTCTAAATCGCACAGTGGTGGACCGCCAACCTAATATCCGTCCGGATGAGAGGTTAGCAGAAAGTGCAACAGGGAAGGTGTATGATCCTCCACATCTGGAATCTGCGTAGGCGAAGTAACCAGTTGTGTCAGATCATATGCCAAAGCATTTAATATTTTTTCAGTTTAATATTTTGTTATATCAAAGCTGTGTTTATGAATAATTTATTGTTAAAAAATGTTATTTTCATATTTTGTTTGTGAAAATTTATTGTAAAAGATATTACTTTAATATTTTGTTATAATAAAGCTGTGTTTCGAATCATTTATTGTAAAAAAATATTGAATTACCGTGTAGTGACAGTCTCAGAATATCCACAACTCCATATTATCATTCCGTGGGTTTCATCGTAAGAGGTGACAGAGGGAAACACATCAGCAGGTGGACTGATCTTCCTAATAACTGCAGTTGCCAACCCACTTGCCAAGCGTGGTTACAGCTTTGGATTGATTCATAGCCGTTTAAGTTTACCCTTATGATATTAGCTTGACATTTTGTAATGTTAAAGTTTGTTATGATTCATTTATTATAATAAACTCATTCATTTATTAAAATAATAAAATTTACTATTTTTGTATAGACACTGTGTTATTAGTATATTAATGATATAAACATTAGAATAAAAATATTAGTTTTATGTGTTGTATTGTCAAAACTATGTTAAATCTTTATCAATCTCCTTTATTTTCATTAAGTTCAAAAAATATAGAATAATGTATCAATTATTTGTGTTTAATTTCATTCACGTTAAAACATATTATACTTAATTCCTATTTACAAATTATGAAGCACACTTTATGTATTAGGATTAATTATTAACAACCGACTATTAAATTAAACATTTGAAGCATTTAGTTACTATGCAGTTATCTTTTAAAAATGTTTCAAATGTTTAATTCACAGTTGGTTGTTGATAATTAATCCTAGTACATAAACCGTAATGAATTACGATGAATAGAGGTGTATATGTAGAGGTGCATGTGTTATACGCAAGCACACATTCTCACAATATTGTGGCGAAACGACACCAGACGGCGCTAGTACTCCTCGGTTGACAGATTTCGCGCGAGTGGGCTCTCTTTTCCTGTATAGGACAGTTACTATACTCTTTGAACGGCGCCTTATTTGTTCATGTGACGATTAGATATTTTAGTGCTACCAGAAAGGAATATAATTTTCTACTCATTAAAAAATCAAAACAAAAAAAGATTTTTTTTTCCTTTTCTGTCAATGATAAGTTAATATAATAACGCACAAAAATGTGGCAGAAATAGTTATCTTCCTATGAAATATTCAAAATTTGGGAATGTCTAATTTAACATTAGCAAAATCTTACTAATTGTTACACAGGGCATTTATCTGACAAATGGCAATAATGAAATTTAGCCCCCGTAGGCATTTCATTCCGCCCATACAAAGTTGACCGGGCCAAAGTGTTGCCTACCAGAATTCAGTGTTACTTAACGAAACCTAGTGTTGCCAAACAGAATCTTGGGCTACCAACTAAAATACAGTGTTGCCATAACAGTAAAATTTCCCTAAAAATGGAGGAAAAATATATGGAAAAGCTAATATCAATACTAGATAAGAAACTCAATAATCAAGCTCTTCTTATAACAACTTCAGTTACGAAAAATGTAATGGAGGCAGTTAACGTGTCGTAACCCTGGAATCGGGCTGACATAGCAGTTTCACAGAACAATGGGCAAATGAGGAATGCTTGCGCTGCGGAAAGGATCGCCGTGGAAACAATAGAACTGTCTCACAGTCTGACACCATCCACGCTTAACTTAACTTCTTTGTAACTTTACATATAAATTGAATTTATTACTTTTGTAACTTTTGTGAAATTGAACTAATTTTATTATTTTTAAAAAGTCTTTTGATCGCCGCCATATCGTAACTGGCGCAGTCGGTCTTTCGCGACAATTGGTAGAACCTTCGACCAATTGAACGGTTTCGATCGTATAAATCGCGACTTCGAATCTACGACGGCGGCACGGACGAAGACCAAGTGGAGCTGACTCAGACCCGTGAGGAGATGCAGAAAGTGCTTTGGTGAGTACTTTCGCTATTTCAAGTTCCCTTTGCTCTATTTCCTTCCGTATTTACTTTAAGTAGTATATGTGATTCTGTCTAGAAGCTAAATCGCTATAGACATTTAGTTAGGAGATTAGGTATTCGTCTTTTAGCTCAAATCTTTATAGATTCCTATTAGCTATTATAGGATATAAGTCTAACAGCTAAAAATCGCTGCAGACGCTTAGTTGAGGTCCGGTAGTGTATACGTCTTATAGCTAAAATCGCAAATAGGCAGATACAAATTGCCCAACTATTTTAACTTATAACGTGTTTTTTTTATTATTAATTTAAAAATGGCTTTTCCTAACGGTGAGGCAGCCAACTTTAAGATGATCGCGGAATTGATACCAAGGTACGATGGCAATACAAAGAGATTAAACCATTATATCAGAGAAATTGAAAATATTTTTAATCTTTTGGACGATACTGCTAGGGTACATCCGGCAATTACATGTCTCATAAAGAGTAGATTAAGCGGTACCGCGATTGATGCGATAGCATACCAAGAAACTCTTAATTCTTGGGAAACTATTAAAGATGCGCTCGTACGTAGATTAAGGGAACCTAGGAATGAAATCCAGGTTATGCAAGAGCTTAGTAGGGTGCGGCGCAACAGAAACGAGGACGCCGAGACACTTGGTAAGCGACTTCGAGAAATACTAGATACACTATTTTCTGTAGGCACACATACCAATAAATCGTACTACGAAAACATGGTAATAGAACAATACACGAGTAATTTAGATTTCCAAGTTTCTATAGCGGTGCGAATAGCACAACCCACCACATTAGAATCAGCCATAGTAATAGCGAGACAAGAGGAAACGAAACTTTCCTTTAATAAGACATTCAATAATAATAATTATAGTGCACCATCAACATCGGCTCAGGCAAAGTTTAGAGAACCAATACGGGCTATAAATCGGCCTCAAAATTCCCTACCGCTTAGGTTTGGTAACTCAGGCCCCATGCCAGACGAGTAATAAAGCTCCAGTTCTGCGACAAAATAATTTGACTCCAGAACAGAGGCAGCAGTGGGTGCAATCCATGTTGCCATGGAAGAACCGCCCATCATCAGGTAACTTCAGGGCATCTTCAGGAAATTTTAGGAATAATATACCCCAGCTACAAGCTCCTGCACAGAAGGTTTCAGACGTCACAATGAGATCCGTCTTTAAGCCTCAAAAACCACAGTTTGCAGCTGAGGAGCTATTCTACACAGGCCCACCTGGACAACCATACGAACAACAATATGGCGAGGACGACACGGACTACGTGCATCAACAAGGTCAGTATGCATACTGTAGTGACAACTACAACCAACAGGTATACGAACCTCCAATGGACGACGGTGAGGTTCAGCAGGATTTTTACCAAGGTCCGGTGCCCTCAGACCAAAGTTAGTAAAACTAAATAACCATGATAAAGACCACCTTCCATATATTGAGCTGCCAGAATTTCAAGGTAAGTTCCTTATAGACACCGGAGCCTCGCGCTCTATGATATCACCTAGTGTAATACAAAACACAACCACACCTTGTAGAGTATGAACCATTCGAGGTAAAAACAGCACATGCCATTACACAGCACGATCAAGTGGCCTATCTACCACTGCCACCCGCGTTTAACAGCGATATAATTCATAAGTTCCTTATATTCGATTTCGACCCCAAATATAAAGGCTTAATAGGATTGGATTTACTGAGGACGCTATCGTGTAACATAGATATAAAAAATAGACTTTTACATACCGCTTACTCGCAGATACCAATTTCATTTGACTATCCCAGTAAAAAACTCAAGATTGAACCAAAATGCGAAAAAATTATAATAGTGAAAACTAATTATTCTGACGGTCAGTACATTCACGATGATTTCATATGGTCTAACGGCTTAAAATCTCCCGCAGCTATGGTCGAGGTCAAAGAGGGAAAATTTAGAATATCCATTATAAACTTTAATTCAGAAAAACGAATAATTTCTAATAATGAAAAGATATACCTAGAACCATACCGTGAGAACTCTGATAGATCTAGATGCAGTTTAAATTCCATAGAGGTTAACTCGGATATAGAGAAAGAATCACGCAACAACTTAAATAAAATACGTACAGACCATATGAATGAAGAGGAGAAACGCGAAATCACTAAGATTTGCTATCAGTATAGAGACATCTTCCACTCTGAAAATATCCCACTTTCTTTTACGCATGCAGTTAAACATCAGTTAAGACTGACCGACCAGACTCCGATATTTGTAAGAAGTTATAGACAAGCCCCACAACAACGCAAAGAAATACAGAATCAAGTAGACAATCTTTTAAAACAAGGTATTATTCGCGAAAGTATATCCCCATGGTCATGCCCTGTTCATATTGTCCCTAAAAAACCGGACGCACTAGGTAAGGTAAAATGGAGGTTAGTCATAGACTATCGAAGACTTAACGATAGAATAGTAGAAGATAAGTACCCACTTCCCAACATAGATGACATTTTAGACAGACTTGGACGCGCCCAATATTTTACGACCTTAGATCTGGCTAGCGGCTATCATCAGGTAGAGATGCACCCTGATGACATAGAGAAAACTGCATTCACAACAGAGAGAGGACATTACGAATTCCTTCGAATGCCATTTGGCCTAAAAAATGCACCCAGTACTTTCCAACGGCTCATGGACCACATCCTTAGAGGTATTAACAACGTTTACACCTATCTCGATGACGTCATAATAATATCAACGTCATTGCAGGAGCATATAGAGAAACTGAAACAAGTATTTGAAAGGTTTAAAACACATAATCTCAAAATTCAGTTAGACAAGTCAGAGTTCCTTCAAAAACACGTCACATTTTTAGGCCATGAGCTAACTGATCAAGGACTAAAACCTAATCAGGACAAAATTAAAGCGGTTTTAAACTTCCCTGTACCGAAAACACAGAAAGAAATTAAAAACTTTTTAGGACTAGTAGGCTACTATAAAAAGTTCATAAAAGACTTTGCCAAGCTTACGAAACCAATGACCTTATGTCTTAAGAAAAATAGTAAAGTTATACACTCCTCCGAATTTTTGGATTCCTTCAATAATTGCAAACAGATTTTAACCAATGCACCTATCCTACAGTACCCAAACTTTGACGAACCATTCATACTGACAACAGACGCATCGGACGTAGCCCTTGGTGCAGTACTGTCTCAAGGAAAAATAGGTTCAGACAAACCGGTAGCATACGCATCAAGGACACTTTCGGATACAGAAGCGAAATACTCGACAATAGAAAAGGAACTCTTAGCCATCGTCTGGGCAGTGAAATACTTTCGGCCTTATCTTTATGGACGAAAATTCGTCATATATACCGACCATAGACCCCTGACATGGCTAATGTCACTAAAAGACCCTAATTCTAAATTAACTAGGTGGCGGCTTAAACTCGCTGAATATGACTACACGGTTGTTTATAAAAAAGGACGGCAAAACACCAACGCAGACACTCTATCCAGAGTCAAAATTTATCATAAGAGCATCGATTCACTAGCAGTCAATTTAGATGACAATTTTGACGACGACATCATAAACAGAATTTTCGAAAACGTACGACAAGAGATATATACGGAGACAGAAGGAATACAACAGCCCGTGGATAATAATGACGACAACAGCAATATCAACGATAATAACGTGACAGTTAGACCCAATGTACAACCTCCTCTAACAAACACAGAATCCGATAGTATGAGTATCGTTACACGCGATCCCGATCACTTAGTCTCGACAAACCATACGCAACCCGACAACGAAAACAACGGCATACCAATCCTATCAGACGCGATCGACAGACAACTAAAACAATTCCATATCAGATCAACTCCAGGATCAACGTACAGAGTAGAAAATAGGTCTACTAACTCTAGAACAGTAATTAAAGATGTATTTATTCCAGTCAATAACACAGAGAAAGAAATTATCCAATTCTTAAAAGAACACACTATTGCTGATCGTGTATTCTACTGCTACTTTTATAATGAAGAACTGTACCTAGCATTCTCCAGAGTTTACACGACGGTATTTAACGACAGAGGCCCTAAGCTTTTTAGATGTATTTCACGCGTTACCCTTGTCGAAAACAACAAGAAATAATTAAGAAATATCATGAAGGCAAAACTGTGCATCGTGGTATCCAGGAGACATACAAGCAAATCCATAGAAACTACCATTGGCCTCACATGCTACTCACAATCCAGGCATTCATAAATGTAGTATCTGTTTACAAGCTAAATATGAAAGGAACCCTCTTAGACCCTCATTAGCCTTAACGGAAACGCCCACAAAACCTATGCAACATATATTTATGGATCTGTATTCGACAGGCGGTGCCACCTTCCTCACTATAATAGACAATTTCTCAAAGTTCGCACAAGCAATACCGTTGAACGCCACTAGTAGTGTACATATAGCTGAAGCTTTATTTCAGGTGTTCTCAGTTTTAGGAATTCCTTATAAAATTACAACGGATTCAGACAGTAAATTTGACAATGAAGTTATAAAGGAGATGTGCGCTTTACATGGTATAAACATTTACTTTACGACTCCATACAATCCAAATTCGAATTCACCCATAGAACGCTTTCATTCGACTATAGGAGAGATTATCAGAATCCAACGAATGACAAACAAAGATGATCCCATACAATTAATTATGAAATTTTCAGTCATTGCTTACAATAACTCAATCCATTCGGCAACAGAATATACTCCACACGAGTTACTATTTGGACATACAGCTTCTAGAAATCCACTAGAGTTACATTATCCTAAGCAGTTTTACCAGAACTATGTTATCAAGCACAAAATGCATGCAGAAGCCGTCCAGGAATGTGTGTCAGCGCACATGGCCAAAAACAAGGAACAGGTAATAGCGAAGCGAAACCAGGCAGCAGAGGAGATAACATTCAAGGTAGGTGAAACAGTTTATAAGCAGGTTGCCAAAACAGCGAGAAACGACAAAACTAAACCAGTGTTTAAAGGACCGTATAAGATTATTCATTTACATCCTAATAATGTAGCAGAAATAGTAGGGAATCATCCTAATTCTAAGTCTATTCGGGTACATTTCAAGCTTCTACGAAGACCCCATCTTGTTCCAGGACAACCATCATCGGAGCCTTCGTGTTCCAGGCAAGATCCGACGTAACATTTCAACCCGTAGACAATACGAACGGAGTTCTATTACTTAGACAAGGTCATATTCTGAAACAGACTGATTCCTTCAACCTTGCTTGTGTTTATAATGTTACGCACTTGAATCTAATATCGATAAAATTAATGGCATTATACGCAAGTGCTAAGGCAACTGAAAGTAACAGTACTTCAGAAGAATTACATAAAACATATAGGGATTAGATAGAACACAAGTTAGATTTAATTAATAAGAAAATAATTTTTATTGCACCTAGGATTAGATTTAGGCGTGGTATTATAAATGGACTAGGTGAAGGCGATAACTGGTAATTTAGACAACGAAGACGCGATTCGATTTGAAAGCGAAATAAATAAAATTCGTAATTCGGTCTATAAAACGCAAAGCTCACAGAGGCGAACCCTATCTTTAGCTGAAAGTAATACAAAGGAATTTTTGAAACAACTAAGCAAAATAGATGATAACCAAAAGAGATTAACATTTATACTAAAAAACATAACAATTAATTCCGATACAATAAAAAACCAGTTACACTTTTTAGAGATTTACGTTCAAATAAGTTTTAGTTTACAGATTATTTTAGATAAGTTAATGGTGCTAGAAGATGCTATGGCATTCTCGCAATTAGGTATAATGCACCCTAGTATTATAAGCCCACGAAATTTAGTTTTGGAACTTAGTAATTTGCAGAATAACTTTTCACTTTATCCAGTCGAGGAGATCAGTATTGATAATATTCATAAGATAGAAAAGTCTATTAGCGTTAAAGCCTATAGTACAGAACATTCTTTAACATTTATATTAGAAATCCCATCCGTCCAACCTATATTATATGATTATATACACATATATTCCCTGCCAAATAACCTAAACCTGACCATTATACCCAAATCCAAATTCCTCGCACTTGGAAGCGATGAGTACGCCTATCTGGAAGAAGATTGCAAGAAGCTGTCAGAAGATACCTGGCTCTGCAAATCACTGGATACTAGAGCCATAGAGAAATCTGAAGATTGCATCATCTCACTCATCAAGCATAAAAATGGTAACTGCACTCGTGCGCGCATGAATCTGAAGCGAGGAAAATTGCAGAAGATCAAAGAAAATAAGTGGTTGGTAGTATCAACGGAACCAGAAATTATAAAAACCCAATGCGGACAGAAAACAGAATATAGGAAACTATCAGGAACATTTTTCATCAACCTAACACAGGACTGTCAAGTTAAGATCATGAATACAACAATAAGAACACACACCAGCAGCATCTCGATGGACGAAGTCATCCCTCTACCCAACGAGAACCTAATAAACCAGGAAGAAGTCCAGTACGAAATACATCTGGAAGACATCTCACTAGATAGTGTCCATGAACTTATGAACACGGTTGAAGACATTCAAGAAATAGAAAACTGGAACTGGTCTTATATTATGGCAATCCCCAGCTGGTCTACAGTGCTCCTCTACATACTAGCAGCATCTATTGCAATCTGGAAGATATACAATTGGAATAAGCGATCGAGTAAAGCAAGTCGCGAGGACGCTCCTGGAAGCTGCAGAACTAGCTTCCAACTTAAGGAGGGAAGAGTTAACGTGTCGTAACCCTGGAATCGGGCTGACATAGCAGTTTCACAGAACAATGGGCAAATGAGGAATGCTTGCGCTGCGGAAAGGATCGCCGTGGAAACAATAGAACTGTCTCACAGTCTGACACCATCCACGCTTAAATTAACTTCTTTGTAACTTTACATATTAATTGAATTTATTACTTTTGTAACTTTTGTGAAATTAAACTAATTTTATTCTTTTTAAAAAGTATTTTGATCGCCGCCATATCGTAACTAGGCGCTTGATGAAAAGATGAAATTTATTATGGAAGAAAATAGTACCCTCAAAACAAAAATATCTGAATTAGAAATGGAAGTAAAGTTTTTGAAAGATGAAAAAAGGAAAAACAATTTAGTATTTTTTGGAATAGAAGAAAGAGGAAAAACCGAATGTGAGCTTGTGGATTACATCAAGGACGTCATAATGGACTTGATATTGCGAAACAAGTCCAAACTTCCGCAAGGAATATACATTAAGGAAGATTATTCTAAAGAAGTGCTAGAAAAACGCAAGCTGCTACAGTTACAGGTTGAAGAAGAAAAGAAAAAAGGAAATGTAGCATTCATAAGATACAATAAATTAGTAGTAAAGAAAAACAGAGATAACTACCCAGAAAAGAGAAAAAGAGAAGAGTCAGGCTCACCAAACAAATCAAATGAAAAGAAAGCTACCACTGCTGTTTTCAAGACACAAATAAACTCAGCGACCAAAACTGTAGGAAAAGACACTATAAGACCTAACATGCTCAGCTATGTGGAAAGAGGAAGATCAGCTTCGATATCTGAAATACCAAAAAACCTGTAAAGGACATCGATACCCGGAACCGAGACAACACAACATCAATAAAACAAACTTTTTCTAAAGGCACCCCAATCCGGCCAGTCACCGTGGGGGAAGAAGACTATTACCCTCCAACTAATATCCAATTACACATTCTTCCTAAAAAACATCGCCAAATGGCAAATAAAATACACATTGCGACATACAATACGTTGTCTTTAAGAACCAATGAGAGTCTAACGGAACTGATACTAGCTCTAGAAAATGTAAAGTGGTCAATACTGGGTTTGAGTGAAGTCCGACGAGTAGGGGAGAGTATAGAAGACCATGGGCATTTTATATTTTATTATAAAGGAGAAACACCAGGCTTATATGGAACAGAATTCTTAATAAAAAATGAATTAAAACCATTTATTGACGAGTTCATTGGCGTCTCAGAGCGTATTGTTATACTTAATATAAAACTACCTCCGAAAAACGATCGTTGGTCGATTGTGCAAGTCTACTCTCCAACTGAACAATCAACTAGAACAGAAATCGACATCTTCTACTCCATGTTACAAGACGCGATAATCAAACACTCGCACAACAATTTAGTAGTGATGGGAGATTTTAATGCAAGAACAGGGGCAAGAGGAGACGGAGAACAAATGATATTGGGTCCGTATTGTTCAGGCAAAAGAACAAGAAATGGGGAGAAACTTGTCCAACTGGCATATGAAAACAACTTCAAAGTACTAAACACTCTTTACAGAAAACGTGAGAACAACAGATGGACATGGATATCTCCAGATGGTCACCACAAAAACGAGATAGATCACATACTAACAAACAAAAGTAAAGACTTTCGGGACTGTAGAGTTTTAAACAATATTAATTTCAACAACAACCACAGGATGCTAAGAGATAAGTTACAAATAAACACACTCAATAAAGATAGACCCTTTAAAGTAAAACAAACCAACAGCTTAACACTAGAAAGTACCGATTCACTAAAAGGAAAGCTAGAACAATTCATAGAAAAAACAAAGGATTTAGACATACAGAGTAAATACAATAAATTTGAAGAACTCCTCTATACTACTAAAAAAGACAAAATGGAAAGTAGAAACAACAGGACAAAATGGATAATAAACAAAACTAAAGAACTGATAAGAAGTAGAGCAGACCTTATATCTAACCCTGAAAAGACAAAAACTATAAGAAAAGACATAGCTAATTTAAGTAATAAAATAAAAACACACATGAGAAAAGACCGTCAGAGATATAGATTGGAACAACTGGAAAAATGCATACAAAGAACCGGAGGCACCAAAAAAGCAGCTAAACTACTATTGGAAAAACGAGATTGGATACCAAATTTAATAAATAAAAATCATAAATGCGAGAAGCGTCGCCCTGAAATCATATTAATAGCCACTCAATTTTTTGAAGAATTGTATTCAAGGAAATATACTGCACAGACAGCAATCCTAACAGGAGGAAATGAAGTACCGGATATAATACACGAATAAATAGAAAAAGCTGTGAGAACTCAAAAAGCAGATAAAGCTCCAGGATTAGATGGCATAAGTAACGAGTTCCTCATCCTAAATAGAAACTACCTGATACCAATTCTCAAACATCTTTTCAATGAAGTCTTACAAAGCGAGATAATACCTTACCAATGGACAACGTCATCAATAGTACTTCTACACAAAAAAGGAGATAAAAATAACATTAATAACTATAGACCTATAAGTCTATTGTCGAATATATATAAAATCTTCGCAAAAGTTATACTCTATAGAATAACTAGCACGTTGGATGAAAATCAACCAAGAGAGCAGGTGGGTTTCAGGAGCGGATACTCAACTTTAGACCACATTCATGTCATCAAGCAACTATTCGCAAAAGCCAATGAATACAACATAACATTTTACTGCTGTTTTGTGGATTACAGTAAAGCTTTCGATACAATAGAGCATGAAAAAATTTGGCAAGCACTCAAAAACCAAGGTATTGAAAATAAATACATCAGAATACTAAAAAATATCTACGATAACAGCAAGGTTAAGATAAAACTAGAGAAGGAAGGTAAAGATATTATAATAGGAAGAGGCGTACGTCAGGGCGATCCACTATCGCCGAAACTCTTCACAGCCGTTTTGGAAGAAGTCTTTCGTCAATTAGACTGGGAGAAATGTGGACTGTCCATTAACGGTGAAAACCTGTCACATTTGAGATTTGCCGATGATTTGATAATCCTCTCGTCATCGAGTGGTGGACTGCAGGCGATGCTGAATGACCTGGTTAGAGAAAGTGGCAATGTAGGATTGGTCATGAACACATTAAAGACCAAGGCTATGACCAATGGCAAGAAAAAACCTATTCTGATCAATAATAACCCGATTGAATATGTTAATGAATACATCTATTTGGGCCAGATAATCTCTCCTGTAAATCTAACCTCAAAAGAAATTGACAGACGCATTGGAAATGCCTGGAAACAATTTTGGAGCCTAAAAGAAATAATGAAAAATAACGATACTAACATAACCATCAAACGGAAACTCTTCGATAGCAGTATACTACCTATACTCACTTATGGCTGCCAAACCTGGGCACTCACTAAATCACACATTAAAAAGTTAGAAACTTGCCAAAACTCTATGGAAAGGAGTATGATGGGGAAAAGACTATCCGATAGAATAAGAATCGAAACCATAAAGAAACACGCGAAAACAAAAGATTTTTAAATAAAACTAATTTTACGGATTTTATCGCGTATATTAACCTATTTTTATATTCCCGACGTTTCGGGTGCTTTCCAGCACCCGTGGTCACGGGGGACTGAGGTGTTTGACGTCCTGCTGTCATAGTTAGCCCGGCTACCTTCAGTTTTTTAATATTAATTTTTGGTCCGATTTACGCAGAATGAGCTTACAGTATCTTGAAGTCTAGCAGTGGTATACTTGGGTTTGGATTTGATTTTATTAATTATGGGATCCCAAGCAGATGGCAGCACCCACACCCATCCATCTTCTCTATTGAAATTAGGATGTTTTTTAATTTCAATAGCCTCGCGAATCATCCTTGGGAGGAATCGGTGTTCTTTTGCGAGGATTTGTGGTCTATCAAATCTAATGTAATGGCGGGGACGATCTTGAACATGTTCACAAACTGCAGACTTCCCGATACGTCGGTGCTTCACGTCAGCTATATGCTCTTTAACGCGGGATTTAATAGATCTTTTTGTTTGTCCTATGTACGAGAGACCACATTCACAATCCACCTTGTACACTCCTGCATCTTGTAGAGGGATTTGACACTTGACGGATGGTAAAAATTGACTAATCTTCTTCAGCGGCTTGAAGTACGTTTTAATGGAAGCTCGCTTCAAGATGTAGCCAACCTTGTCTGTGACTCCTCTGACATAGGGTAGTACAGCAGGCACACGCTCGACTGTGGCTGGCTTCACTCGGTCACTGTGACGTAGGCGCGGGACCCGAAGCTTGTTGTCTTGCAGTACTTGCTCGACGTGCTGAAGCGATAGTATTGATTTAATAAAGAAATGACTGATTTAATAAAGAAATACTCCGAAAAATTAGATCTTGACGTGAATTCGACAATACCATCATGTGCCAAACCACCGAGGTTGTATGGGTTACCGAAAATACACAAACCAAACGCTCCACTACGTCCTATAGTAAGCCAGATCGATTCACCAACTTATAAGTTGGCTCAACACTTGGCAAAAATACTGTCACCACTAAGAGGACATACCAGAGCACACACAAAGGATTCATACCGTTTTGTTAGTGAGATTAAAGACCTACATCTCGCTGACAATGAAACTATGGTCAGTTTTGATGTTCAGTCACTATTCACATGCCTACCTATTGAAGACTGCATCTCAATTGTTACTAGAAAGCTAGAAGATAACAACATGCCTACAGAATATGCAGTATTACTCAAACACTGCCTCACATCTGGCTATTTATTGTGGAAAGAAGAGTTCTACATGCAAGTAGACGGAGTGGCAATGGGCTCACCTGTATCTCCCGTAGTCGCCGACATATTCATGGAGGACTTTGAGGAGAAAGCCCTTCTTACTGCTCCTGTAAATCCAAGATTCTACAAGCGGTACGTAGACGATACTTTCACAATTTTACCATCTGACAAAGTAACTGCATTTTTAAACCACCTTAATTCCATAAACCCTAAAATACAATTCACAATGGAGTTAGAGGCAAACAATACTTTAGCTTTTCTAGATGTTTTAGTCATCCGAAATCCTGATAACACTATTGGTCATACTGTGTACAGAAAAAATACCCATACCAACCGATATTTAAATGGTGAATCTCACCATCATCCTTCACAGTTAGCTACCGTGGGAAAATCTTTGTTTCAGAGAGCACGAGGGATCTGTGACAGAAAACATCTGGCCGCCGAGCTTCAGCACGTCGAGCAAGTACTGCAAGACAACAAGCTTCGGGTCCCGCGCCTACGTCACAGTGACCGAGTGAAGCCAGCCACAGTCGAGCGTGTGCCTGCTGTACTACCCTATGTCAGAGGAGTCACAGACAAGGTTGGCTACATCTTGAAGCGAGCTTCCATTAAAACGTACTTCAAGCCGCTGAAGAAGATTAGTCAGTTTTTACCATCCGTCAAGTGTCAAATCCCTCTACAAGATGCAGGAGTGTACAAGCTGGATTGTGAATGTGGTCTCTCGTACATAGGACAAACAAAAAGATCTATTAAATCCCGCGTTAAAGAGCATATAGCTGACGTGAAGCACCGACTTATCGGGAAGTCTGCAGTTTGTGAACATGTTCAAGATCGTCCCCGCCATTACATTAGATTTGATAGACCACAAATCCTCGCAAAAGAACACCGATTCCTCCCAAGGATGATTCGCGAGGCTATTGAAATTAAAAAACATCCTAATTTCAATAGAGAAGATGGATGGGTGCTGCCATCTGCTTGGGATCCCATAATTAATAAAATCAAATCCAAACCCAAGTATACCACTGCTAGACTTCAAGATACTGTAAGCTCATTCTGCGTAAATCGAACCAAAAATTAATATTAAAAAACTGAAGGTAGCCGGGCTAACTATGACAGCAGGACGTCAAACAACTCAGTCCCCCGTGACCACGGGTGCTGGAAAGCACCCGAAACGTCGGGAATATATAAAAATAAGTTAATATACGCGATAAAATCCGTAAAATTAGTTTTATTTAAAAATGTGTAGTGTTCGCGTAAATATAAGAAATCAAAACAAAAGATGTCACAATAATAATAACAAAGTTAAAATGGAAATGGTCAGGCCATATAATTAGAGGAAAGGAGAAATGGTCCAAATCGATAATGAATTGGTTTACAGGTCATATGAAAAGGAAAAGGGGTAGACCATGTAGAAGATGGGAGGATGACATTAAAGCCATAGCAGGAGGCATATGGACTAGAACTGCTAAGGATAGAGAGGAATGGAAAAGATTAGATGAGGCCTTTGCCAATAAGTGGCATACAGACAGTGTTGTCAATGTACAATAGTTAAGCGATGAGAGTGTAAAAATATATAATATATAATCCAGTGTTAGATATAGAATAATCCAGATAGATACTGTAAATGAAATACTGTCTGAAATAAAGGCTATTATTATTATTATTATTATTATTAGATATTTTATGTTTTATAGCAAAATTAAATTTTCGATACTTAATTTTTTAAAATTAATTATAAATTAACTAATGGCAATACAGGTGGAGCAATTTCGGATTCTGCTGGAGCATTTAAGGAGCAATTAATTTGCATACAGTTTAATTTAAAAAAAAGTAATATTTTGTTTTATAGCAAAATTAAATTTTTAGATACTTATATTTTTTTAATTAATTCTAAATTAACTAATAGCAATACAGATGGAGCAATTTCGAATTTTACTGTACGCTTAAGGAGCAATAAATCGGCATACACTTTAATTTTAAAAAGTAGATATTTTATGTTTTATAGCAAAATTAAATTTTCGATACTTAATATTTTTAAATTAATTCTAAATTAAATAATAGCAATACAGGTGGAGCAATTTTGGCTTCTGCTAGAGCATTTAAGGAACAATTAATTTGCATACAGTTTAATTTAAAAAAAATTATATTTTATGTTTTATAGCAAATGATTTCTTATATTTACGCGAACACTAAACATTGAATAAAACTATTTTTACGGATTTTATCGCGTTTAATTAACTTATTTTATATTCCCGACGTTTCGGTTGCTTTCCAGCAACCGTGGTCTTCTTCTTCTTCTTTTAAACTATGGCTTCTCTTGATAGAATTCTGCCAGTGTCAAGTCAGTCATGGGAGTGACCAGTAAATATTTATTACATTAAAGAGTTCTCAATTTTACAAGTGGGTTCACAATCTACAACAAAAGACGTCACATTTTTAAGTACCATCACCAAAATTGATTAGTAATTTTACAGTTTAATATTATTAGTACGAATAAAATCACACAAAATATTTACAAAAGGAATATACACTAGGGGCAACAAATACTGGAAATTTACAGGACGCGGGATGTAGTGGGGCAGGATATCATAGAGAAAGTGAGAAAGGTTAGGACACTCAAAGAACAGATGGTTTACGGATCCTTCGTCTAGCCCACATTCACATATTGAGCTATCCCTAATCCTTAGTTTAGCCAAGTGTACCGGAGTACAAGCATGTCCAAAGCGAAGGCGACAGACAGTAGAGGTGATTGATTTATTAAAGTGACGATATTGAAAGAACCAGGGTTTTGATGGGATATTAATTTGGACTTTGGAATAGTGTTTATATTTTAAAAGTTTAGACTGATGCCAGATACTTTGCCATGTAGACAGAAGGCTGGATCCAGCCTTTGGTAGGAGGTCATATGTATAGAGGCATTGTTTAGGGAGGGAGCCAGATTTGGCGGCTTCTTTAGCTAAATGATCCGCAATATCATTACCCTGAATCCCGCAGTGGCTAGGGATCCAAGCCAAAACAATTTTCAGCCCTTTTTTATGGCAGTTGAACAGAGACTTTCTAATATTTAAAATTAGGGGGTATCTTATCTTAGAGTGAAAAGGACTGGATGCAATGCTTTGAAGGCAAATGAGGGAGTCTGAGAAGATGAGAGTCCTTTCCAGATTGTGAGATTCCGCATATAAGACTGCCTCTAAAATAGCTAAAGACTCACCTGTGAATACAGATGAGTCAGGCGGAGAGTTAAAATTTAAAATAATCTTGTATTTGGGGATCCAGACTGCGGACCCAACTAATCCCTCGTCACTTAACTTTGAAGCATCAGTGTACATAATTAACCAATCATGCCAATTTTGGAGGAGGAGCATATTTAATTTGTTATTTACTTCAATAGTATTCTTGTCTATTCCGAAATTTAGAATAATGTCTGGGTTGAAAATTAGAGCCTCGTATGGGATATTGAAAAGTGGATTGCTATGGGATTGATAAACAAGAGAGTGAACATTGACTAATTTAATATAACTTTTTATAATACATGGCAAATCCTTGTGGGACCAATATGGAGAGTCCCTGACCGACTGATACAAAGAACGAAGTTTGGAGAGGAGAGGATGGTGTGAATAACTAGCAGCTTTGAACAGAAACCTATCTGAGAGATATTGTCTACGTAGAAATAAGGGGGGCTCAACACATTCAACTTGTAGAGCAGAAATGGGAGTAGATTTCATGGCACCTGTTATTATACGTAGACATTTTGATTGAATTTTGTCCAAGGTATTAAGAGCCATTTTGCTACATGGTTCCAGTAAAAAGCAGCCATAATCAAAATGACTTCTAATAAGAGCATTGTATAAAAGCTTTTGGGAGTAGGGGTGGGAACCCCACCAGGCTCCTGACAGGGATCGGATTACATTGAGGTTTTTTTCACATTTGGAAGCAATATATGATAGATGAGGAATTCCTGTCATTTTGTTATACAGAATAACTCCTAGAAATTTCACCTGATTTTCAGTGGGGATTAGGGTATTTTCAATATATATGGACACTTCTGGTATTTGCCTTCGCCTAGAGAAAACCACAGTACTGCATTTCAAAGGAGATATTGATAGGCCATGCTCAAACAGCCAGTTATTAAGATAGTTGACAGCTTGGGATAAACGGGAGGTAGCTTTGGCAGTAGAGGCATCAGTTACAAACAAGGCTATGTCATCTGCATATTGCAGGACATTACCTAAGTAATTCACAGATCTGTCTAGATCATGAGTGTAGAGGCTGTATAACAAAGGGCTCAAGACAGAGCCTTGTGGTAGTCCCTTCCAGGTAAATCTAGCTGGTAAAAATCTCCCTTCAGAACGGACTAATATGCGTCTATGTGAAAGTAAATTTGATACGAAATTTGTTATTCTCTCAGGAATGTTCAGCTGATGCATTTTTTGCCTGAGCAGTGGGAGAACAACATTATCATATGCCGCACAAACATCAATAAAAACGCCTACCAGAAAATTGTTATTGGAGAAGGCAAGTCTTATATCGGATACAAAAATGCTAAGGCTATCCATTGTGCTAAAACCTTTTCTAAAACCAAATTGGCTCTTTGGTATAATGCCTCTATTTTCAAGAATCCACTCAAGTCGATTTTTTACGAGGTGCTCCATGATTTTAGACAAGGTTGATGAAATAGCAATAGGGCGATAACTTGATGATGAAGAAGGGTCTTTACCAGATTTTAGAATGGGTATAATAATATGAGTTTTCCAATCATGAGGAATGGAACCGGTTGTAAAAGCAAAGTTAATCATGTTTAAAAAGAACTGCTTACACTTAGTACCCATATTAACTAAAAATGAGTAGGGTATACCATCAATGCCAGGAGTGGAATCCTTTAGGTGCCTAAGTACTAACTGCAGTTCAGCTATTGAAAATGGTTCATTAAGGTTATTAAGAGAGTTAGATGGTTGAGGAGGGAATGATTTAGAGTTAGGGAATATCTCTTCTTCCAATAGAACCCAGGGGGGAGCCAGTCTGTTACTGAAGTCGTCTAACCAGTGGGAAGGATCTGCACAAGGGGGATTACTATAATTTAAAGCACCACGGAAGCGCCTGATACTTTGCCAAACAAGAGAAGAAGGTGATCGGGGAGATAAGCTCTCACAGAATGAAAGCCATCCTTTTTTTTTCTTTTCGGAGAGAAGTTTTTTGGTCTGAGCAGCTATTTTTTGATAGTCTAGAAAATTTTCCATGGTCATGTAAGAGGAATATAGTCTTTCTGCAGCCTTTCGTTTTCTAATAATTGAGGAGCAGTCACGATCCCACCATGGAGGTGAAGAAATTTTTTTTGTGGAGGAATTCTTCAAAGGGAAAATTTTGCTGGCTATATTATTCAGAAGGGTTATAAATTGGGAGTAGACACTTTGAAAGTTATCTAAAGAAACTGGGGGAAGGTTATTGATATAAAGTTCTGATTCTGAGGAAAATACGTCCCAATCAGCTTCAGACAGGTTGAATTTGAAAAGGGGAAATATACTTCGAGCAGGGACACATCTATTACTTAGGTTTAAGAGGATGGGAAAGTGATAGCTACCAAAAGAGGAAGGAAGAGTTTTCCATAATATGCTAGCAGCCAAGATTGGAGAGCACAATGACAAGTCTCCTACGGATCTAGTATTCTGCGAAGGGTAGGACATTCTGGTGGGAGAGCCATCGTTTAGAAGACAAAGATTAAATTCATTGAAGACATCAAGTAGCAAATAAGAAAAAGAGTCAGTTTTATGGGAACCCCACATAACATGATGGCTGTTGAAGTCTCCTAGAACAATGTAAGGTGGGGAGATGCTTGATAGGATTAAATTGAGTTCTGGAATACAAGAAGGAGTGGGTGATGGAATGTAGATGGATAGAATTGTGATGTCCAAAGCTTTAACAGCTACTGCATTAATATTGCCTAGTATAGGAGGAAGCTGGATAGGTGATAAGGGAATGGTCCTGTTTAGTAGGATCAGAGCACCGCCATAGCCGTCACTCCTATCACTACGATAACAGGAGAAGCCTGGGATTCTAAATGGGGACCCTGGCTTAAGCCAGGTTTCCGATATTGCAAGTATTGAAGGATTATAAGAGTTAATTAAGTGAATTATATCAGGTTTCTTATTCCTGATGCTCCGACAATTCCACTGGAGGAGGGTTAGGGACTCGAACCTTATATATTCTGGAGAAGAGGATATCTAGTTTGTTTTTCACGTTGAACGGTAAATGGGAATCATCAAATTTGCCAACAATATCAGTAAGGGAGGCCACAAGATTTTCTAGAAGATTGTCATTAGAGGATATTACATTGTTTTGTAGTGCATGTCCATTGGGAAGAGATGAGGACGGAGTACTTGTAATGTTATAATGTGAAACTTTATCATAACCTACTGAAGATTGCACTGGGATAGATTTGGTTTTATAGATGGTTTTCCTATAGGATTGGGAAGGAGATGGAAAAGTAGGAAGGTTTATAGGAGCTTGAGTAGAGGGGAGATGGCTTGCAGGAACTTGTGAGGATGCAACATCAGAATAAGGTCTTCTGACAGCTGGGAAACGAGCAGAAGCTTCAAGGTATGACACATTCTCTTGCGACATTACTATCTTGATAGCTTTTTGCCTTGAGTGTTCAGGGCAACTTTTTTCAATGGCCGAATGATTTGCAGAGCAGAAAAGACAGGTTGGGGAATCTGTGGGACAACTTTCTCCAGTATGCTCTTTGCTGCATTTAAAGCAGCGTGGTTTGGATCGACATTGCGCTTTGACATGACCGAAACGGCAGCACTTTAGACACTGGATGGTAGGGAGAAGGTAAGTCTCTACAGGAATTGATGCATAAAAGCAGTATATATAGGAGGGGAGCACTTGTCCAGAGAATGTTAGGACAACAGTTTGAGTAGGGACCCACTCTACTTCATCGCCCTTCTTGACCTTTCTATTAAGTCTTCTGGCTTTAATGATTTCCCCTCTGCCAGGAGGGACCTCCAGTATGCTCTTTGCTGCATTTAAAGCAGCGTGGTTTGGATCGACATTGCGCTTTGACATGACCGAAACGGCAGCACTTTAGACACTGGATGGTAGGGAGAAGGTAAGTCTCTACAGGAATTGATGCATAAAAGCAGTATATATAAGAGGGGAGCACTTGTCCAGAGAATGTTAGGACAACAGTTTGAGTAGGGACCCACTCTACTTCATCGCCCTTCTTGACCTTTCTATTAAGTCTTCTGGCTTTAATGATTTCCCCTCTGCCAGGAGGGAGCTCAGATTCACAAACTAATTCCTCCATAGAGATGTCCGTTGGGATACCTCTAATGACACCCATACGAGTAACATTAAAGGTTGGAATGACAGCAGAAAGTTTATATTTCGAAAGAAACTGAGAGTCAATAAAATTATTAGCATCAGTAGCTGTTTTAAAATCAATTGAAACTCTATTACGCCCTAAGATTTTGATGCCCTGTTTTTCAATATTGGCTACTTTATTTTGTGAGAGGATATGGCCAATTTTCACAGGTCTAATTGTATAACCTGCTGATGGATCAGGTTCTGATCGACTTAAATGTATAACGAAGGGGCCTTTATCGCTATCTACATACTTCTTTTTCTCTTGGAATTCAGGATGGACGAATGTATTTTGGTAGGAGGCCGAAGGGTGATCTTCGTGCCCTATTTTTTTCTTAGGGAAGCTGGGTAAAGGATCCGTAAGTTTACGTTTGACAGAGTTAGAATCACCGCATAAATCCGGTGGTTCAGCATCTCCCCCGTCAACATCCATCGTCGTCACAAAGATCTACATCAACTATCTAAACAAATAATACTCACCAACTAACAAACAGAACACACACAGACAACACAAAGAAAATTGAGAGAGTTTACGCAAATTTAAATCGAAAAAGAATTAAAAACTTATTTCAGTAGAAAAAAACGTGTAACCACCAATCACTCTGACAGCAGAATCCAGCAACCGTGGTCACGGGGGACTGAGATGATTGACGTCCCGATGTCAGTATTAAACCGGAGTACCTTCAGCTTTTTTAATTAATAATTTTGGTCCGATCTACGCAGAATGAACTAACTATGTCTTGAAGTCTTGCAGTGGTATGCTTGGGTTTAGTTTTAATTTTATGAATTACAGGATCCCAAGCAGGTGGTAGTACCCAGCCTCCCTCTCTATTGAAATTAGGATGTTTTTTAATTTCAATAGCCTCACGTATCATCCTTGGCAGGAATCGATGTTCTTTCGCGAGAATTTGTGGTTTATCAAATCTAATGTAATGGCGGGGGCCGTCTAGGATATGATCACAAACTGCAGACTTCCCGGAACGTTGGTGCTTCACGTCAGCTATGTGTTCTTTTACGCGGGTTTTTATAGATCGTTTTGTTTGCCCTATATATGAGAGACCACACTCACAATCAAGCTTGTACACTCCTGCATCTTGTAGAGGAATATTGCACTTGACGGATGGTAAGAACTGACTAATATTCTTCGGCGGCTTGAAGAATGTTCTAATAGAAGCTCGCTTCAAGATGTAGCCAATCTTGTCTGTGACACCTCTGACATACGGTAGTACAGCAGGCACACGCTCGACTGTGGCCGGCTTCACTCGGTCACTGTGACGTAGGCGCGGAACACGAAGCTTGTTGTCGTGCAGAACCTGCTTGACGTGCTGAAGCTCGGCGGCCAGGTGTTTGCTGTCACAGATCCCTCGTGCTCTCTGTAACAAAGATTTGCCCACGGTAGTTAACTGTGAAGGGTGATGGTGGGATTCACCGTTTAAATATCGGTTTGTATGGGTCTTTTTTCTATACACAGTGTGACCTATAGTATTATCAGGATTTCTAATGACTAATACATCTAGGAAAGCTAAAGAATTATTTGTCTCTAACTCCATAGTAAATTGAATTTTAGAGTTTATGGAATTAAGATGTTCTAAAAATGCAGTTACTTTGTCTGATGGTAAAATTGTGAAAGTATCGTCTACGTACCGCTTGTAGAAACTTGGAGTTACTGGTGCAGTAAGCAGGGCTTTCTCCTCAAAGTCCTCCATGAAAATATCGGCGACAATGGGAGATACTGGTGAGCCCATCGCAACACCATCTACTTGCTTGTAAAACTGTTCCTTCCACAATAGATAGCCAGATGTAAGGCAATGTCTGAGTAATACTGCATATTCTGCTGGCATGTTGTTTTCCTCTAGTTTCCTAGTTACAATTGAGATGCAGTCTTCAACAGGTAGGCATGTAAATAAATACTGAACATCAAAACTGACCATAGTTTCATTGTCAGTAAGACATAGGTCTTTTATCTCACTGACAAAATGGTATGAATCCTTCGTTTGTGCTCTTGTGTGTCCTCTGAGTGGTGATAGTACTTTTGCTAGGTGTTGAGCCAATTTGTAAGTTGGCGAATCGATCTGACTCACTATTGGACGTAATGGAGCGTTTGGTTTGTGTATTTTTGGTAACCCATACAACTTGGGTGGTTTCGCACACGCAGGTATTATCGAATTAACGTCTAGATTCAATTTCTCGGAGTATTTCTTTATTAGATCGCTAGTTGTTTTAAGCGTATTAGTTGTAGGGTCTGTTTTGAGTTTTGACCTTTACGTACGTACTTTCATGCGATAAAAGTTGTTGTATTTTAAAATTGTAATCCGACGTATCCATTATAACCGTAGCATTACATTTATCTACGCGGAGAATCGTAAGATCTGGTCTTGGAATTTTAGAGTTTATGGAATGAGGATCAGTAAAGTTATAGAAAATTCAATAAAACTAGTATCCATGTTATTCTTTATGAGATAAGAATTATATATCTTTTTGAAATAGCCAAATCGGACCATTATTTACGAAGATATTAAGTAATAAACATAGGCCGTTCCTGTCGCTAAAAGTCGATGTACGCAGGTCCGCGTGACGTCACTGCGACGGAAACGAATGCGTCATAGTAGTTCATACATGTATTCTGTGGTGGTTCACGATCGTTGGAGTGCGGAGACGCGGTTGGGCACTATATTTAGAAATTTATTTGAATAAAGTGTTGTTACAGTATAATTTTGTGATTGTTTAAGTATTAAACGTACATAATATGAGTGCTAATAAAGTAGAAGCTAGTTTTGTGCAAGCTTAATCAGATAACCTTCCAAAAGTGGATTCTTTCATGGTATTTGATTATCTAAGTAATCATTCTAAGTTCACCAGCGCCGAAATCCGTGGTTGGAAACTACAAAGGTAAGGTGCTGCTTATTTATCTACGTTCGTAGGTACTTATTAGTAATCTTTAGGAATAAGCTTTATAGGTAAATGAAAGAAAGAATGAATGTAGTATAGTTACAGGGACGTATTCATAATTTATGAATAAAGTGCTTATAGTATCTTGATAAAAGGAATGTTGTTTTCGTTCATTCATATGTAGATCATTTTGCAGATGGTTTTTAAATTACTTGCATTTTATTTAGTGCATGGTTCCCTACACTTGCTGATCTATGACAGAAACCTTAATATTGGTTGCCAATGGCAGTTTTTTTTGTCATCTTGCTCATTGTTACAAATCATTCGTTCAGTATGTATTTAAGGGGGATGATTTGTATTGTATAAACGAAAAGTGTATATAATACTAGCGAACGCCCGAGGCTTCGTCCGCATAGACTACTATTTATTTATTGTAGAGGAACCGTGTATTTTTCCGAAATAAAATACTTTTTATACCAGAAAAATGCACGGTTCCTATAAAATTTCATACATATCTGTTCAGCAGTTTTTGCTTGAAAGAGGAGCAAAGATCCATTCATCCTCATAAACTTTCACATTTATAATATTAGTCGAAAGTAAGATAGTAGGATAGGATAGAATGTTGTTATTTGTATATTTTTATTTGTTTTTTTTTTTATTTATTACAGATCAGCACGTGAAACCTATGGAGATGATGCTGTAGAATTTGTTCAAGTCCAGAGGTCGGGACATGTATGTACGGTAAAAGCAAAAATAACGCCTGAACATAGAATAAAAAGTAAAGCGTATAGCTGTACATTTACATGTGATGAAAAAGAGGAAATGGTTTTAAACGTGAACTGTCATGACTGTGCTGCTCAAAAGGGAGGCTGCAAACATAGCGTAGCATTTTTGATGTGGCTTCATAGACGCAGCGAAGAGCCATCTCCTACTGAAAAAAAATGTTACTGGGCCAAACCAAAGCTGGCTACTATAGGTACTAAATTTATAAAAGCTAAAGATATGGGTCCCAGCTCAGTTACTACTGAAGATAAAAATACTGATAACACCAATTCAGATCAGTTTTTCCTAGCAGTTGTGCAAAACCTAAAGGAAAATTCTATCAAAAATCAGTTATCAGTATACGTTACAAAGAATGAGTATAAAAAATTGTCTTTGCATAACCTCGTTCATCAATACAAAAATGAAGGCAATAATATAAATAGTGCAGATGATTTTATTGATTATTGTTCTACTAAAATCACCATAGAGAAATGTCACAAAGCAGAGGAAGCAACAGTTTGTCAAGCTAGTTCACCGTTATGGCATGAGTTAAGGTATTGTAGAATAACCGCGTCTAAAGTTCACGAAGCCGCACATTGCAAGACTCCTGATGGTGCTTTGATTGAACAAATATTTGGTGTCTCTGTACCAGAGACTCTGTCTATGAAAAGAGGCAAACGATTGGAATCCAATGTCAGAGCAGAAGTAGCCAAAACAAGGAAAATAGTTATTGAAAATTGTGGTTTCTTTTTAAAACCTGATTGGCCTCATTTGGGTGCTTCTCCAGATGGATTGACAAGTGAATACGTAGTAGAAATAAAATGTCCCTCGACAAAGAAAGGAAAGGAAAGTTTTCTAAAGAATAGTGTTATCGGCAGCAAATGGAAAGCTCAAATTCAGCTACAAATGTTTTTTTGCAATAAAGTCAAGGGATTGTTTTGTGTAGCTAATGAAAATTTTGAAAGCAATAAAAAAGTGGAAATATTTGAAGAAGATTATGATGAAAACTATTGTACTGATCTTTTAGAGAAGTCCACGCATTTTTGGAAAACATCAGTGTTTCCGAAACTGGTTGAAACTTAAAATTATTCTTTTATTAATAATATAACATGTGCTTTTGATGTTGCGAGGTTGTCCAAATAAAACTATAAAAGAAACGAAAGCATTTTGTTTTTATACTTGATTACTAAATAGACAATTCTGTAAATTAACTAAGCCACAGGCTATTGTTACAATATTATCCAAAAAAAGTAAGTATGAAATATCGACACATGCGTGAGGTCCGATCATTTTAAAGTCTCTCAACTTCCCTATGCTTCTTTCAACGTGAACTCTTATAGCAGCGTTTCTCTTTGTTTGCAAGACTTCCTCTGCTGTAAGTTTTGAGTTGGAACTCACACTAGGCGGCCTCAGGAGTGTACAACCACGTTGTTCCAGTAAATGGGAAATATTTTTGAAACCCCTATCAGCTAACACAATACTTCCTTGTGCCAATTTGTCAAGAAATCCGCTGTCTTCAAATATTGTTGAGTCTGGAGTCCTCCCTCCATATCCCTCCGAGATAAAGTTTATCAAACCGTCAGGTGTAATTGAAATCAAGTACTTAATGGTATTGCAGCTTTTATATTGAGACCATGTAGCCGCTTGGTGCGAAGCGTTACTAGGTTTCTCGATTTGAATTTCAAAACAATCGATTATTGAAATCGCTTTAGAATAGCGCTTCCTAAAAGCTATCAGCAAGTTTTCTCTGACATCATCTACTGATGGCCAGATAATAAGTCGATTCAGGCACATTGCAATTTTTGGGAGAGTTTTATTAAAATATTTAGTCACAGAACTCTCAGAGAGGCCAAAATGTATTGCAAGCATTGAGTTTGGGTCATGCCATCGGATTTTTCGTAAAGTCACTATGATTTCAATAGATGATATTTCCGCGAAGTTTTGTAAATGTTTAATACAAAAGTATGAATGGGCAGGAATGCCTATCAGTAATTTTGGATCTCGAAATATAGCCATTAGAGCGCCCTTTTGCATATGCTCATTGAAGAAATTTTTGTTCATCGTTTTTGTTATTTCTAAATCATTCGACTTGTTATCACTAGCATTAACACCAAAAGAACGAGTATTTTCACTTGAGTTTGAGTTGCTGATCGTGAAGCTAACGTTTGGATCAAGATTTTTAGGGATTACTTTTTTTTTTAACTATTGGTTGTTTCCATTTCATTGGCGTATTATTAGATTTAGTTTTCATTTTTGGTTTCATATTAACCTGCACTGCTTGTGTTTTTTGACTCCTTACATTGTTTTTTGATAATACGTCTATTTCTTCAGGTATGTTAAGGGGATCACTGTTTTGGATGTTATTTGAGTCTTGATTCTCACACTCTACTACTTCAATGGAATGCAACAACAGGTCTTCGTGTCCAATATCTCTACTTAAAACTCTTTCAAAATATTCTATGTCTTGTCGTTTTTTAAAACCGTGTCTGTCAATTTTCTTTTTTTGGGGCTTTTGGCATTCAAACTTATGAGGCAAAACTCCCTTCTTTACTTTAAGCTTTCCTCCAACTAACAACTTTACGTAATTTTCCATATCTTCTTCTAACTGAAATATAAAAATGAATATAAGTATTAATTTATTTGCTTCTAACAATAAAGCATAGCTGAGGTAGATACATAAATTCACCGCTGTTATGTAAATGATTAAAGAATATTATCATTCACTCTTTGCTTTTTACCCGAGTACGTATCTATGTCATTGTTTTGACCTTGGAATACGAAATACGATGTTTTTACATATAAACCACAGATTACTGTATACCAGTCTACGATATAAACATCTGAACCGATTTTAATGACTTTTGGTATAGAAATAACTGAGATCCTTAAATGGCTACTTTTCATCGCAAAAATAAAACTTTAAGGGGATGAAATAGAGGTGAGATAAAAATTTTCTGTGACAAACTGAATTCAACGCGGGTGAAACCGCAGGCAAAAGCTAGTAATACATAGAAATGGGAACGGGCGAATATATAGGTTTACGTTAGTACGTAGATTTATCAACAAAACTTAGAAAAAGTAAATAGGTATGATTTTATTAATACAGCAGGCTTAAAATAAGAGAATACACACGTACACTACACGTAACATAAGGTACCAACTTATTTCCATATCAACTAAATAATAGGTATAATAGATATGTAGGTACGTACATCGAAGTGATCTTCACAGCAATGTCTTGTAGCCTGGGCAGAGGGTGTAGTTTTATCATCTCTTTTTGCAATGGAATACCATTTTTTACGAAGTTTTGGGTTTTTCGGTACGTTAAAAAATAGTTTTTCTGGTGTTTTAATAGAAGTGTTTGTACATTTCGGTACTAAACAATATTTATACATAGTTAAAAAGGTGAATTAGACACAAATCGGACACTTAACTTGTTTCAAAGTCACAATTAACCAAACAAAACACTGCGCGCCTTATCGCTGCCAACGGCTAACTGGCGAAGACCGTCATAGTAACGTCACAGCTACCGCGCCGGGCTGTCAGTGAACTTCGCTAGTAATTTGGTAATAACTTCGTCAATTTTTGTCGTAGAACAAAAATTTTTGCACTGTATTTTAAGGATTTCTTAGATCTATAAATCTGCATTCTCAACTAAAAACGTTACGGATCCTCATTAAGATGTTCTAAAAATGCAGTTACTTTGTCTGATGGTAAAATTGTGAAAGTATCGTCTATGTACCGCTTGTAGAAACTTGGAGTTACTGGTGCAGTAAGCAGGGCTTTCTCCTCAAAGTCCTCCATGAAAATATCGGCGACAATGGGAGATACTGGTGAGCCCATCGCAACACCATCTAATTATAATAATAATAATAATAATTGTTTATTGCCCCTAAAAACAAAACAGTTACATACACGCCAAAACAAAAGAACATTATAACTATTTGAGACAAAAGGAGACGGCTCAGCTTTGTCTGTAACGAGATACATATCTCATCACAGAGCTGTTTTTCAGCCGCTCCCTCCTCCCTGAGGTGTTGTGCGGGAGTCCAAAGTAGCAGGCTCCCCATTTACCTAACTTATACTTTTAAACTACGTACAAAGTAATAAAATGTGATAAAATCGTAAATACAAAAAAAAATTAAAAATTAAAAACATTAAAGACAAAATATAAACATTTAAAAAATATGCATAAAAACAACCATTACGAAATGAACTACAACAGATTAAAAAAAAATGTGTGTGTGTATGTGTGTGTGTGTGTGTGTGTGTGTGTGTGTGTGTGTGTGTCCTTATTAATTTTTGGCAAAAAAGTCCCGTAAATGTAATAACTTAACATAGGGATGTTTCAAATTCTCTGCAGTGAGTTGTCTTTTTAACAGAGCCAATTTATATTTGGCTTTGAAGCAATCTATTGACATTTTCTTTCTCATGGGTGGAGGGAGGTCATTCGAAATTCTCGCTGCAGTGAATTTGAAACAACTCCTATATCTTGCTGTTTTGTGTGCGGGTGTGTGAAGGAGCATTTGTGTGTGAGAACGAATACTTCTACAGGAAATATCTTTGATCCAGGTGAGTTTTTCGAAAAGGTATTCTGGTTTTTTGTTCCAAATTACCTTTTGGACTATCGAAGCATAGTGTAATTCTCTCCTGGCGCCCATATTGAGTATGCCTTTTTTATTTAAGTATGGGGTTATAAATTGTCTTCTTGGTACATTACAACAGTATCGAACACATGCATTTTGTACTCTCTGTATTGCTCTTTCGGTATTAGCTGACAATTTAGGGCCAAAGACTGAGCTGCAGTAGCTCAATTGTGATAACACCAATGAGTCACACAAGAGAAAGCGTAGGTCCTCTTTAATATACGGTCTTATTTTGTATAAAGTTTTAAGTTTGAAGTACGAACTTCTTATCTTATTATTGATGTGTTCTACAAATTTCTGCTCACCGTCTAGTGTAAGCCCTAAATTACGAGCGGATCTTACTTGTGTCAAGGTTTCATCTTCTATTTTAATCGTATCCTCGCTATCTAAAATAGTTTTTATTTGGTTTTTTGTGCCCAAAACTAGTACTTGTGATTTAGTTGCGTTTAATACTAAGGATTTTTTTTGGGACCAGGTTTGGATATTATGGAGATCCTCATTTATTCTGTTTATTGCCTCTTTAACATCCCTGGGGTCAAAAGAATAATACAGCTGGGTGTCGTCTGCGTATAAATGGTATTTACAATGTTTTATTTGCTTAGGCAGGACTGCTGTGTACAGAGAGAACAAAATAGGACTGAGTAAGGAGCCTTGGTGTACTCCTCTTACAATTTTCCGTAGAGAGGAGAATTTCTTGCCACCATTGCATCCATCTGTTACCACAATTTGTTCTCTGTTGGATAGGAATGACTGAAACCATCTACATGTGTCTTTAGAAAAGCCATAGTGCTCTAATTTATTTAAGAGGATTTCAGGTTGTAGACAGTCAAATGCCCGCGTGTAATCCAACAGCACCATAATACTGCTCAATCCCATATCGGAGGCCTCTGTTAGATCGTCAGTGACATTTAAGAGGGCAGTTTCCGTGCCATGCCCTTTTCTGAACCCTGATTGAAACTTTGGTAATGGGTTATTCGTTTCTAAGTAATTTAGCATTTGACAAAGTATAATCTTTTCTAAGACTTTAGACAATACCGGGAGGATCGAGATAGGGCGCAGATCTTTTAGTTCACTTGCTGTGTTTTTTTTAGGAATGGGCTTGACTAGAGCTCTTTTCCATTGCGTTGGGAATGTACTGGCGTCGATCGACTTGTTTACTATAAACGTAATAATAGGGAGAGTTACAGGTAAAGTTAATTTGAGCATTTCAATATTTAAGTTATCGTGCCCTGCGGCTTTTGTTTTTATTTTATTGATAATCTTACTGATTTCTATTTCATTTGTCGGGTTTAGGTCGAATAGGGTATCGTGTGAGCATCCGTTACATACTTTATAACCTTGTTTGAGTTCTGGTTTGTCACATGGCGGCAAGTCTAGAAAATAGTCATTAATAATATTCGGGTCATTGAGATGGTGTGGAATTGTATTTAAATGAGT